CTTTTTTATTTCCTGACACTGTCGATTGTTTCCAAGTCCGAGACTGAATGGTCCAATGAAAAGGGAAATGAAAGCTCGCTTCCAATTAGGAGGCGCACATCCTCTCCTGCCACCCGGGGGCGGGGTTTTGGTCTGCTTCTGCACCAATCAGCTGAGGACAATGGGACGCCATAGCCTCATTTTCCTCCTGTTGAAAAAAACAAACAAAACCCCCCCAAGTACCTTGTAATGTAGTCCTACAAATAACAGACATCTTTTAAGGTACGGTGAAGGTTAAGCCCGTTAATATTTACTGAGTGCAGAATTGCTCGTTGCTGGTCAGTTGGGCCCCATGAAACTCTGCAACCACACTCACCGCCATCCAGTCGATGCTGTGACTCCTGGCGGCCCACAGCACAGGAGCCGGTAGCACTGCCCCGGTGCGTCTCTGAGGCTGACATTCTGTGGGAGTAGAAAGCCCCATCTTTCTCCCGCACAGCGACTGGTGGTTTCGAACTGCTGCTCTTGCAGCCCAACAGACCACCACGGCACCACCAGAGAAGCAGGCACACCTGGTCTCCTCATTTTCGCGTGATGAACGGGAGGCCAGAGGTCAGGGTGGGGCAGAGCCGGACCAAGGCCAGGTCCAGCTGACTTCACAGCTTGCTCCTGCCACACAGTGCCATGACCACAATCGTCCCCAGGCTGAGTCACAACCCGGGCCACAAAGCTCTGTGTCCAAAACCGACTCTCAGACTCAGTTTCTCAGCGATAATTGGCTCTTAAGTAATTGTTGTTGTTGTTCGCTGTTGCTGAGCTGCCCAACCCGGGCACGACGGAGGAGAACCGAGTTCTGCAGAGTCCTCTTGCCTGTGCCCTTTTCTTTATTTTAAAAATCATTTTATTGGGGGCTCTTACAGCTCTTATCACAATCCAGACATCCATGCATTGTGTCAAGCACCTTTGTACATCAGTTGCCATCATCAGTCTCAAAACATTTGCTTTCTACTTGAGCCCTTGGTATCAGCTCATTGCCCCCTCCCCTCCTCCCTCCATCATGAATCCTTGATCATTTATAAATTATTATTATTTTGTCATCTTTATGCTGACCGATGTCTCCCTTCACCCACTTTTCTGTTGTCTGTCCCCCAGGGAGGGGGTTCTAGGTAGATCCTTGTGATCAGCTTCCCCTTTCCGCCCCCACCTCCCCTCCACCCGGTATTGCTACTTCATTATTGGTCCTGATGGGGTTATCTGTCTTGGATTCCCTGTGTTGCGAGCTCTTATCTGTACCTTTGTACATGCTCTGGTCTAGCGGATTTGTAAGGTAGAATTGGGGCCATAAGTGTGGGGGAGGGGAGGAAGCATTAAGGAACTAGAGGAAAGTTGTATGCTTTGTCAGTGCTATACTGCACCCTGACTGGCTCATCTCTTCCTTGTGACCCTCCTGTAAGGGGATGCCCAATTGCCTACAGATGGGCTTTGGGTCTCCACTCTGCCTTCTCCCTCATTCACATCGATATGATTTTTTGTTTTGGGTCTTTGATGACTGATACCTCATCCCTTCGACCCCTTGTGATCACACAGGCTGGTGTACTTTTCCATGTGGGCTTTGTTGCTTCTCAGCTAGATGGCCACTTGTTTATCTTCAAGCCTTTAAGACCCCAGATGCTATATCTTTTGATAGCTGGGCACCATCAGCTTTCTTCACCACATTTGCTTATGCACATGTTTGTCTTCAGCTATCTGGTCAAGGAAGGTGAGCATCACAAATGCCAGGTTACTAGGACAAAGTGTTCTTGCATTGAGGGAGTACTTGAGTGGAGGCCCAATGTCTGTCTGCTGCCGTAATACTTAACAAACAAATAATATCTACATAGATCTAGTTCCCTATTATTATATGTAAGTATATGTACATATGTACATGCCTGTATTTAGACCTCTATAAATGACTTTTGGCTCCTAGTTCTTTCCTCTATTTCCTTTTTTCTTTCCTCTTGTCCCACTATCATGTTCAGCCTTCATTCGGGTTTTGGTAATTCCTCTCAGCTACAATGCCCTTGATCAAGCCCCACCAGGCATCCTACAGCCTCCTTGCTATCAATTTTAGATCACTTGTCCCTGGGTTTGTTCTTGCCTGTAACTTTTATGGAAGCAGGGCACCAAGCTTTTCCACCACGATTCCACCGGATGGGGTCCAACCACAGACTTTTCAGGTGACAACAAGTGCAAGCCATTTGGATCCCCCAGTTGCCTCCACCTGCACTGTATCTTCATGGGGTGCTAGGGGCAAGCTAAGTGGGGGCCCTAGTTGAGAAGGAACAGTGGCAGGAAAACTCAGAGCACTGTGTTCTGAGTTTGCTGTGGAAGGGCACGTGTCCTTATTGTGACATGTTGTGTTCCGACCGCTTGAACGTGCATGAAGTCTAACATTTCTGAAGAGTTTTTGAGTTAGTATAATTAAATCAAATTTAACTTAATGGCATCCTGTATTTAAAACACAGCTCTCTCACTGCTCTAAATACTAACGACTAAAGGTGAGAGTGGGACCCCTGGTAGCGTAGTGATCCCACACGTTGGGCTGCAATCCACAAGGTTGGCAGTTTGAAACTCATTGGTGCTCCTCAGGAGAAAGCCAGGGCTTTCTACTCCCATAAAGTGTTAGAGTCTGGGAAACTCACAGGGGCAGTTCTGTTGTCCTATAGGGTCGCTCTGAGTCCGTATTGACTTGACGGCAATGGGTTTTTTGTTTTTAAGAAGGGTGAGTGCATTTAGATAGCAGACTGGACATGGTCATGGAGGGACAGGGTCATGAGACAAAAAAAGATCATCTGTTAGTGGTAGCAATCCTGTAATTTCGAGTATTTGAAGGGAATTATTCTTCGAAGTGAGACTGGAGGGGACTTTGTCTTATGCACTTTGGATGTGTTATCAGGAAAGACCAATCTCTGGAGATGGACATCATGCTCGGTACAGTAGGGGGTCTCGGTGTAGTAGAAGGAGACCCCCAAGCACATGGATTGATATAATGGCTGCAGGAGTGGAGTAAAACAACAATTGGGAGATTGATGCTGGGCCAGACAGTGTTTCATGCTGTGCTACGTTGGGCGGCGTGAGTCAGAGCCAACTACTATGGCAATAACAGGACTTTGGGCAAGGAGCCCTAGTGCACAGTGGTTACGCAATCTGCCACTATCTCCAAGGTCAGTGGTTCTGATGAGCAGGTGCTCTGAAGGAGAAGGACTAGGCAATCTGCCTCTAGGAAGACTTACAGCCTGGAGGCAGCTCTAACCTACTTCAAGGGAGGAAGATGTGACATGCTTTCTGCTTCTGTAAAGATTGTAGCTTTGGGATGTGTGTTAGACAGGGTTCTCTAGAGAGATGAAACCAGATTGCTGATAATTATATATATATAT